AAATAGAGTGAATCCCCAGAAATACGCCTGGGGGAATCCCAAACTAGAAAGCTATGTAGCAGAGCTAGAGAACAACCAATCCAGTTTGGAGATATGTCTGCAAGAAGATAAACATAATAGAACGTCAGATATCTTTGAAAATATTGAGTAGATATTTAGACAATTAGAATTTGGAAATCAATTGATAACACACATTTGCTCAGACCAATATAATGTGGCTTTAGAAACAGTGTGTCATTTATGAGCTCAGATCTTATGAGACCTTACATTCTTTTGCTCTTTTGCAACTCTGTCCAGCAGCTATGTGAAAAATCCTGAGCTAGTTTTCTGGAGAATGGGAGACCACAGGAAGGAGAATATTCTATGTGATTCGATTCTAGTAATAGCAGCCAAGGCAGACCCAGCGGTGGATTGCAGATACCTGGGAGAGCCCTGCTGAGACTGAGAGGCATGCCCAGCCGAGCCAGCCCAAACTGCCGACGCAGAATTGTGACCTAAACCAGGAGTTGGCAAGCTTTTTCTGTAAAGGGCCAGATAGTAAATATTTTAGGATGAGTGGGCCAAGTGGCTTAATTGAGAATATTATGTAGGTCTTTACATAATGAGAAAAAACAAAATTTCATTAGTTTTTTATGGATGAAACTCAAAATATAGTAATATTAATTTTTTATAATACAGGTATATAATATAATAATTCTACTAGTGAGAAGACTAGAATTTTCTTTGTGGGGGATAACATTTTGCTTAATTGTGATTGAAAGTTAGGTCTCCCTGTCATCAAAAATGGTTGTAAATACTCATTTATTAATGCTGATATGAATGAGATTCTACATTTCATCTTTTAACATGTCTTTCTCACAGATAGGTACTTCCAAATTTTGATATCAGTTAATCAGCATATGATTTTAAAGAGCATATTCATCATTTGACAAGCATTTTGAGAATTTGGTTATATTAGTATTTTTCATTTAGCATGTAATTACAGTGCAAACTAATTACTTCCAATGAAAAGTTAGAGGAAAGTGTCTCAGTTGTATAGTAAATGGGCTTTGAAATATGGAAATTTCATTTGTACTTGAATCCATATCTAAAAAGCACTGGTGGAAATGTAGTCTGAGCTTGTAAACTTGTGTAGGAATAGAAGTCTCACTTTTTAGCGTTTTATGTACAGGAAGTATATAAGGTAGATAGACTAGTTGTGACAGACACTGATTTTTTAAAGCACTTTTTCACAACCATGTGAAACTTTTTAAATAATACATAATTAGATAGCATGCGTACTGTGTATAGAAACAAAAATAATTAAAGCATACAGTTGCCCCAGAAAATTTTTAATAAAATGCACTACATCCTACAGACCAGAATTGAATTGATTGCTGAGATTTGTTCTGTAAATAATTTGACTGTGTTTACAACCCTCAACTAAATTGCACTGATAAAGAACAAACAACCATAGACCATTTATTAGCTCAAGATCCTGTGATTCCTGAAATGTTTGATTGACTTAATGGATACTGAAACATAACTATACTTTAATCAGTAAAGATAAATTAAGAAATCTTTTACAGGTATGTCACATAAGCTTTTAGCCCTAAATGACATTTATTATGACTTATTTAATTGTAACAGTATACTGATTCTAGTCATTCCATTTTTTAAAAATTAGTATGGCCCTGGACTGCTGTGGTTCAGTTGGTCGGGTCTTGTCCCATGTACCTAGAGGTCGAAGGTTCAATCCCTAGTCAGGGCACATGCCCAGGTTGCTCGATCCCCTGGGGGGGAGGGGTGCAGGAGGCGGCCAATTTATGTTTCTCTCCCTGTCCCTTCCTCTCTCTCTCTAAAAATCAATAAAAACATTTTTTTTAAATTAGTGTGGAGAACTTTTTCTTCTGCACTCAAAAAATAGCTATATAATCATTTGGATATGATTTCTTGCATATATATTTTAGATAAAAATATACATTATTTTTAGTATATGATGAGAAATGTAACTGAATATTTTAACAAACCATAACATATATACAAATGTATGTTTTACCCTCCAAACGATTTAGTTTAGAGCAGTGTTTCTGATCTGGGGGTGATCTAGTGAGTAGATGCCAAATATGCTGTTTATCACAAAACACTCCACCCCCAGCCCCCCAGCAAATAATTGTTAGTAGTGCTAAGGTTGAGAAACCTTGCCTTAGAGACTATATCATGTTCCCGTGATATGGCCATTACTAAAATATTCTGGAATATAGTCTTCAGAATTGCTTATTTGAATATACCCACTGTGTTAAATTTTTGTTGCTTGTGAGGTATATTTTATTTTGGACTAATTCCCATGACTCACAGGGATAATATACTTCATTCATGGAATTCAGTAAAACATGCAGGTGGATATTCACAAGCACTATCTAAATGCACACAAAATTATTTAATTATCTCCAACTAATTCAGAATTTGGTTTGGTTAGAAAATGGAAGGCTTAAACGTTCTTTTTGTATCATATTTAAAGGAATTTGTTTATTGACAAGTACTTTTTAAGGAGGGACTTCAGAAACTTGACTGTCACCGATCACCCATTTGAGAGGAGAGAATTCAGAGAAACTTTCTCTGTAAATGTTTCTTTGTCAGCTCAAAAATTAGGAGAGGAAGATTCTCAAAAAATATGGACTGAGCACATAATAGAAACTCGCATCCCTCCCCCAAAAATGTCAGTTGAAGAACATATTAGTAAACTCTTCATGTTTTTTCTGGATGTATTCTTTTTATTTAAATTGAGCTTTTGCTTTCATTCAAACAGGTCTCGTCAAATTTACCATTATGACCCTTGCTAGATAGAAATTCTGATCGATACTTAATAGAGGACAGATTTATCTTTTACATTCAAATAATCCAGGTCTACAATCCTTATCTGCAGCTCTAAAATTCCAAAGTCTCTGAACACAGGATTTTTGTAACTCCTGTTGGCAAAAACCTGACCTGAACTGATGTGAAGCTATTTATACTTTTAATTTACCCACATAGTGTGAATATTCATACTCTTCAGAACAATTAATGTGGCATATTTCAAAGGACTTGGTAATATATGCAATACTTTTTGCCTTGTAAAGTCTGAAAAGTTTTTTCAAATTCCAACTTATCAAGTATGATAATTATCAGCAAGAATTTTAATTGTAGATGCTTTTATTTTAAATAATACTATCTGGCCTCATTTTTTTATGACTGTAATTTTTCAACTTTTTAGTAAAAGTTTTGAAAGCAACTTAGTATTTTATCATTTTATCAATGGAACGTGAGTGTACTGAAAACAGAAACAGTAACAATTTTCAAAGTCACCATTATAGGGATTTTTATATTTTTTGCTTAATTTTATATATTAAGAAAGAAATCCACATGCCCTGGCCAGTTTGGCTCAGCAGTTAGAGCATCGGGCTGTGGTCCAGAGAGACCCGGGTTCGGTTCCCACTAAGGGCACGTAACGCTTTGGTTGCAGTTTGTCCCCGGCCCTTGTTGGGTTGTGTAGGTGGCAGCCACTCGATGTGTCCCTTTCACGTCTATGTTTCTCTCTCTCTCTTCCTCTCGCTCCCTCCTACTCTATCTGAACAAAAAATGGGAAAATGTCTTTGGGTGCAGATAAAAATAAGAAAGAAATCCACAAAATTAAAAGTATACCAATATTAAAGTGGGAAGAGGACATAATCAAGCAAATGATAAGAGATAATGTGTATATTACTAATATTGCTGTGAAAATGTTGAATATCACATAATGATCTTTTTTAAATGCAGAATGAAATTAGATGTCATTCTTTCTCAAAAAAACTAATATTAAATGTAATCAAGGATATAAAAAAGCCATTTCCGTGGACTGCTTATAGAAATAAATTGAACAAAATGTCAAAAGCTACAGTGTAATGGAATATAAATCATATTATAAAAGAAGGTATTCTCAGTTAAAGATTTTCAAAATATACTTTAACTGAAAAATACCCGAATAGAAAATAGTATATACAGTTTGAGCTCCCTCCTTTCACCCTGCATGTGGTATATAGGTATATTGTTTTGTGTTCATAGTTTTCTGTACTTTCGAATTTTCTACAGTAAATACAGAATAGGGAATTGTTAATATTTCATATTTTATGCATTATATATACAGATCTAAAATTAATTGGGAAAAACTAAATAATAACTACCAAATGAAGGAAATACTCCTAAGAAATGTCATGACATTTTATTATTGATTGCCTGTCCAAAAAAAGGATGCTACCTATATAGATACATAGAAGTTAAAGAGGTTTGTTTTGTGATGCTCATCCAATCATGAAACACTATTTTAGCAGAAAAATCACTATTGTTTGAGAAGTGTTATATTTCTTTTTCAAAATTTTAGCCTTCTTTCTCCTTGTCTGAAATCCTGAAATCTAGTGGGTACCTGATTATTATTTCAATAAAATGGGTGTACCATTTCTCTACTTAGATTTCTCATTTCAAATATTAGCACAGAGGGTGGAATTTTTACCTTATTCATGGTGTCCAGCTCTCAACATCTTAACCTGGCAGGAGGACCAAATGAGCTGTAAATCTTACCACCCAGACCACACTTGATTATTGTATGATGGGAAAATTAAACGTGAATAAAACAGCTAGAGCATTAGGGTGTTCTTGGAAGAATAAACACAAGTTGGAAGTCTTATGTGGATAGTGCAAAGTACAGGAAGGCAATCAATCATGTAAACATCAAATGAAAGGTTGGTAAGGAAGCCATTGGAGTCTGTCAGGCGCTCCTGCAATAAATGGCTTATTCCATTTCTTTTCCCTTTCACTCAGTTTAGAAAAGTGCATTCTGTGGAATCTCTAACATCTCAAAAGACTTTGTAAGTTCTTATTCCTGTTTAAAGATGTTTTGAACAGAACGAGCTCAAACCATTGAAGAGGATTTTTAGTTAATATAAAATGGACACAAATTTTGTCATAGTGCATACTTCCATGACTTTTTTTCCTCCTCCCACAAACAGGAAACTGTTAAGGCAGCAATCATAGAGGAGCAAAAGCGAAGTGAAAAGGCTGTGGAAGAGGCAGTGAAACGAACAAGAGATGAATTGATAGAGTACGTAAAAGAACAGAAAAGGGTAAGTATCTCTAGAGGGCTTTTGATTTGTGTTTCCATAAGCAGAAGTACCAGCTTCCATACAGTAATGTGACATTTTAAAACATTTAAAACATCCTTTGTCATGTAATTTAGTAATATCTGTCTAAGATTATTTTCTGATGCAATTATTTATTCCAATAGTTATATCTATAGACATAAATCCTATCTGTCAACAATAATAAAAACACTGAATAATTTCTTGTCACACTGCTAGAAATGGCCTATGCCATTTTCAATTAAACTTTGCCCTCATGAAGAAAGGAAACAGTTTTAAATTATTTTTGAGATAGCATTGGTTTATAACATTATATAAGTTAATTCAACATATGTACATCCTATAATGTGTTCACCACCAAAAGTCTAATATCCATGCGTCCCCATATAATTGATCCCTTTTGCCCTTTTCACCCTCTCTCCACCTCCTCTTTCCTTCCAGTAACTATCAATCCATTGTCTGCCTCTGAGTTTGTTTTTGTTTTGTTTTGCTTTTTTTCATTTCACATAAGTGAAACCATATGGTATTTGTCTTTATCTGATTTATTTTATTTAGCATAATACCTTCAAGGTCCATCCATGTTAATGCAAATGGCAGGATTTCATTTTATATGGCTCAGTATTATTTCACTGTATGTATACAATTGACCCTTGAACAGCATGGGGGTAAGGGTCACTAACATTCTGCACAGTCAAAAAATTGTGTTTAAATTCTGACTCCCCTAAGACTTAACTACTACTAGCCTAGAGTTGACTGGATGTCTTACTGCTTTCGTCAACAGTCGATCAACACACACTGTGTATGTTATATGTATTATATGCTGTATTCTTACAATAAAGTAAGCTAGAGAAAAAATGTTTTTAGGAAAATCATAAGGAATTTTTCACTGAAAAAAAAAATCATGTATAAATAGACACGTATGGTTCAAACCTGTGTTATTCTCAACAGTCAGCTATGAGTATACATCTTTATCCATTACTTCATCATGGGCACTTAGGTTGTTTCTATATCTAATGCAGTGAACATAGGGATGCATACATCTTTTCAAATGAGTCGGTGTTTTTTTCCCAAAGTGGAATAGCTAGATCATATAGTAGTTCTTTTCTTAATCTCTTGAGGAATCTTCATGTTGTTTTCCATAATGGCTGTACTAATTTACATTCCTACCAACAGTGTATGAGGGTTCCCTTTTTTTCATGTCTTCTCCAACACTTGTTATTTCCTGCCCTTAATGAGAGGCATTCTCCCAGGCATGGGGGAATATCTGATTGTGGTTTGGGTTTGCATTTCCCTAGTAATTAGTGATGTTGGCCATATGTACATCTTCTTTAGGAAAACGTCTGTTCAGATTCTGTACCCATTTTTCAATTGGGGTTTTTTTGTTTGTTGTTGAATTGTGTGAGTTTTTGTGTAGTTTGTGTATTTAACTCTTTTCGGGTGTATACTTTTTAAATATCTTTTCCCATTCTGTGGGTAGCCTTTTCATTTTGTTGATTCTTCCTTTTGCTTCCAAGTTTGATATAGTCCCATTTGTTTATTTTTGCCTGTTTCCCTTGCTATTGGGAGTCAAATCCACAAATAACATTACTAAGGCTGATGTCAAGGAGCTTACCACCCGTGTTTTCTTCTACATATTTTATGATTTCAGGTCTCATATTCAAGTCTTTAATATATGTTGATTATTTATGGTGTAAGAAAGTGGTTTAATTTCATTCTTTAGCATGTGGCTGTTAGTTTTCCTAACACCATTCTTTGAATAGACTTTTCTTTCTCCACTGTATGTTATTGGCTTCGGAAATTAGTTGTCTGTATTTGTATGGGTCTATTATTGTATTATTTATTTGTGTTACATCTGTAAACCTGCTTTTGCCCACCCTGTATTTTCATCAAAAATATTGTCAACCTGGCCACTTTGTTTCAGTGGTTAGAGCATTGGTCCGCAGACCAATGAGTCTCAGATTCAATTCTGGTCAAGGGCATGTACCTGGGTCGCGGTTTGTCCCCTGGTTGGGGTTGTGTGGGAGGCAGCCAATCGATGTGTCGCTCACATCAGTGTTTCTCTCTCTCTCTCTCTCTCTCTCTCTCTCTCTCCCTCTCCCCCTCCCCCTCTCATTCATTCTTTCTCTTCCTCCTTCCTTCCCACTCTATCTGAAGATAAATAGAAAAAAATATCATCAAGTGAGGATTTAAATATATAAATATATATATAAATTTATAAATATATATATAAATTTATAAATAAATAAATATATATAGTCTTATAATTCTTCTTGTATTTATCTCTTTCTAGTTTTGGTATCATGGTAATATTGGCCAGATAAAATGAATTAGGAAGCATTCCCTTCTCTTCAATTTAGTGGAAGAGTTGAGAAGAATTAGTAGTAAGTCGTCTTTGATTGCTTAGTAGCATTCACCAGTGAAGCAGTCTGGTCCTGGACTTTTGTTTTCTGAGAGGTTTTTGATTACGGTTTTAATCTATTTACATACTAGTGATTGTTCTATTCATATTTTCTACTTCATAATTCAATCTAAGAGGGTTGTATGATTCTAAGAATTTATCTATTTTTTCTAAATTTTCTAATTTGAAGGCTTATAAGCCGTTTATAAAAGTCAGTTATGAACCTTTATATTTCTTTAATATCTATTGTAACTACTCTTTTGTTTCTGATTTTTATTTGAGCCTTCTCTTTTTTTTCTTAGTGAGTCTAGCTAAAGTTTTGTCAGTTTTGTTTATCTTGCAACACCAGCTCTTAATTTTATTGATTTTTTCCTGTCATTTTTGTCTACATTTTATTTACTTCCTTTGACTTCTTCCGTCAGCCAATAGTTTTTCAGTAGCATATTGTTAATCTCCATCTATTTGTGATTTTTCCAGTTTTCTTTTTATAGTTGATTTATATTTTTATTGGCAAATATATTTGATATGATTTCAGGCTTCTTAAATTTATTGAAATCTGTTTTGTTTTAACGTATGGCCTATCCTTGAGAATGTTCTATGTGCATTTGAGAAAATTGTGTATTCTGGTGCTTTTGCATAGAACGTTCTCTATATGTCTATTAAGTTCATTTGGTTTAACTTGTCATTTAAGGTTGAGGTTTCCTAATATACTTTGTCTGGATGATGTAAATACTGTTCAAGTCCCCTCTTATTATTATATTGTTGTCAGTTCCTCCCTTGAGGTCTGTTAATAGTTGCTTTATAAATGTGATGCTTCTATGTTGGATGCATTGTATTAATATATGTCTTCCTGATGAATTGTTTCCTTTGTCATTTTATAATGTCCATCTTGGTCTTTTGTTACCTTTTTTAACTTGAAGTCTGTTTTGTCTTTTATAAGGATGGCTATACCCACTTTCTCTTGGCTAACATATGCTTGGAGAATCATCTTTCACCCATTTACTTTAAGCCTACGTTTGTCTTTGAAGCTGAGATGTGTCTCTTGAAGGTAGCATATAGTTGGGTATTGTTTTATAATCCATCAAGCCACTTTATGCCATTTTATGGTGAGTTCTTACCATTTAAATTTAGGGTAATTATTGATAAAGGAGGACTTATGACTGCCATTTAGTTTTTGTTTTCTGATTGATCTATGTCTCCATTGTCTCATTTTCCTTGTATTTTTTTCTGCCATTTTAGTTTTCTATGATGTTTTTCCTCAGCTTTCTATTTTTTTAATGTTCAATGTCTCTGCTCTAGATTCTTTTTTTTTTTAAGTATCGTTACCATAAGGTTTGTATAAAACAAAACGTTGCATAGATGAAATAGTCCTTTTTCTGCTGATGGCATCTTATCTTCAATTTTCCTATACAGATTTTGTTCTATTCCTTCTCCCCTTTTATATTTTTGTTTTCACAAAGTATTCCTTTTTATGTTGTGAAACTATTACCTAATTGAATTAGCTATAGTCATTTTTAATGCTTTTTTTCTCCTTTAACCTTTATGCTGTAATTTAGTGTTTGACACCATATTCTGAGATAGCTTTGCTATTTTCTGATTCTGTTTGTTTGTCATCTTACTCATATTTGTTTACTTGCACCTTTTTGTTTCTGGTGGAAGAGCTCCTTTCAACTTTTCTTATAAGGCAGGTCTAGTGATTGTGGACTCCCTCAGCTTTTGATTGTTTAGGAAAACCTTTATCTCCCAGTCATATCTGAAGAATAACTTTGTTGGCTATGCTATTCTTGGCTGTCAGTTTCTGTCTTTCAGTATTTTGAGTATGTCATTTTACTCTCTCCTGGTCTGCAGAGCTTCTGAGAAAGTTGCTGATAGCCCAGTGGAGGTTCCTTTGTGGGTTACTGTCTTTTCCCCCACTGGACTTCTTTTTTTTTTTTTTTTTTAATCCTCACCCGAGAACATTTTTTGTTCAGATAGAGTGGGAGGGAGGGAGAGAGAAAGAAACATCAATGCGAAAGGGACACATCGAGTGGTCGCCACCCGCACGACCCAACCAGGGCCGGAGACAAACTACAACCGGTACGTGCCCTTAGCGGGAACCGAACCCGGGTCTCTCTGGACCACAGGCCGACGCTCTAACCGCTGAGCCAAACCGGCCAGGGCCCCACTGGACTTCTTTAAAATTGTTTATCATTAACTATGACAGTTTTAAAATAATTTGTCTTGAAAAGGGCTGTTTGCATTGAGATAGTGCTTTGCGAACCAGGATATCCAGTTTCTTCAGGTTTAGGAAGTTCCCAGTTACTATTTCTTTAAATGATCTCTCTGCATTCTTCTCCCTTTCCTTACTATCCTTATGTTTTGTATTAACATATGGCCTATCCTTCAGAATGTTCTGTGTGCATCTGAGAAAATTTTTCTTTTCTATTGGAGTTGTATAGTTCTTATAGAGCTTCTTCGTTTAATAAAAACCTTAGTTCTCTCTTCTCTTCAACTTGAATAATTTTTAGATTTCTATCTTCAAACTCGCTGATTTGCTCTTCTATATGGTCTGCTGTATTCCTAATGCTCCCTGATGCTGTCCTCGTCT